CTACCGAAAAACGTTTGGCCTTAAAATTTCTATGCTTCTTTAACATCTATAATTTTATTTCAACTAAATAATTTTCATCATCTATTAATTTTTGATGAAACTTTACATCGTCTAGATACATTTTTATATTTATTTAGTTTTTTGAGTGAATATTTTTATTAATTATCATCATATTGTTGTACCATTATTATTACAATTGACATATGATTTAATATACTTGATTATAGACACGAAGCATAGTGCTCATAAACATAAACAACATCCTTAATTCTTATTATTAATTTTATTTGAACAAAGTGATACAGATAAAAAACTAGCATGATCTTCGACATTGTACATGAGTTGAAGATCATCATCTATTTATTCAATCAAAATATACTATTTGAAATAATTTATAAAAATAAAACGAATTATTTCTTTTATCCTTCAAAAATTCTTTGTACACCTCAACGAATACATTTCGATGAAAGTTGTCTTTTGTTTGTTTGACTTTTTGAACTATTTCTTACACTATTATCTATATATAACGTTTATTGAAATGAATTGTTTCTCTTCGTGTTGATACGATCTTAACATTTGACGAATAAAATATGAAATAAACAATTATTAGCGAAATAATATCAATAGATATTATTAAAATATTCTTAATTTTCAAGATGAGAATTTTACAGTTAAATGAATAGAATAAAAAACTAATTGTTCTATGGATATGAAAGCATAAATTTATGAAAAAATCCTGAAAACTGTAACTTATAAAATATAATTCCTTTTTTTTGATGTCTTCCCATATGTTTCAAATTAAATTTATCAAAAAAACAGAAATATATACATCAAATGAAAATTTTCATCTAATTGCTAGAAAAATATTTGATTACTCGTTGATATTTGTTTATGTTTTAGTAATAGATGATGATACTATTCAATAATACAAAACTTTTGAAAAAAATATTTTTAAATCTAAAATTAGTTTCATCTACCCTATTTACACAAAGAGAAGAATGAGGGTGTGGGTGTAGGTGTGGGGTGTGCGTGTGGGTGCGGGTGGGTTTGGCTCAGGGTTGCCAAACCTCCTGATTTGGCCAGGAGTCTCCTGATTTTCAAACTTTTCTCCTGATAAAAATTCTCCTGAATTCAGGAGCTGATTGTGAGGATTTTCTCCTGATTTCTACTGATTTTCAAATTTTTAATGGCTTCGGTTTTAGCGACATTTTGAATCGGTAAAAAAGCGTAGAAGAGAAAGAGCACTGTTAAACGTAGAGGTGATAATCTTCTAGCTTATCTTCTTGGTAGTGAAAATGTGCCTAATGCACAAAAATTAGCCCCGTTATCTTTTTGCCGTACCTATCTTCAATGTGTGTTGCGAGTGAATTTTCATTCATCTGAAATTTTTATAAAATGATAATAGAAATCGAACCACAAATCATTTTGTTGATGCAGAATTGAGAATTAGAATGAACGGTCATTCCGATTGTACAGAGTTTCATAATTATTTCTTAAATAACCAAGAATTGTCAACACGAAGTTTTCTCGGCAGAAAAATGCAGGCATGTTGCCAAAAGTTATGCCGATAGGTCGTAAACATTTTGTATGGCATATTCGATTTGTTTTGCTTTTTGGTTCTTGTCATATCATTATAAAATATTTGTGCCTACTTTCTTTATATCGGTAAATGAACAAATGTGAAAATACCAGTAGAATAATGCACACATACTTACAGAAATGTCTCAAAATCTCGAAAAAATTTCAAAAACTCCAGAAAGGAAAAATCTCGAATATCAGAATCGTCGAAAGGAACATCTCGAAAGAATAAATATCGAGCGTTCCTCGATGACCATTCTAAAATAGCAGGTAAAACACACTGGCATCCTGCCAACACTTTGTAAAAAAGAGGAAAAAAAGTGGCTCAGCATTCTTGAAAAAAAGGATTTTTAATAAAAAAGAGGAGAAAAAGAGGCATATAGTTTTCGTCCAAAGAAAACTAAAAGTCACTGACACAATAGTACTATAAATCCGACAAAACTCGCAAGTCATCAATATAGGTTGAATATGACTTGAAAGAGTAAAAAAGAAACGAAACTTCCAATTGTTCATAGAGCCTATTGGGCAACAGCTTATGTTTGCATTAGAAAACTGGAAAACATTAGAAAAATAGTGTATTCTATTTGCGTAGTGTCTGACTATAATATAATTCTGTCTGACTAAGTGGGCACAGAAATCGAAACGATCAGAATTCATTAAATGTCGTTTTTGCTTTTTGTTCCTTTCTTTCGGATGGCTGCGCATGTGAGAAAAAGAAGTTTTTTTGTTCTTTTCAATTTTCAGGAATTCTTCAATGATGTTGATCATTTTTCGCAAGTCAGTTTCACTTTTTCGTTTCCCAGCTTAACCTAATACATTGGTTGCAAGGGCGCCCATACAGTAGATTTGTGAGAAATCGTTTGACCCTCGTGCTATCGAAAACGCTTGATTTTTCCCAGCGAAAACTGGTCATCTTCTTGTGTTCTGTAGAAAACGACATACGCGTATTGAGTAGGTTGTACGATCCCTGCTTTTTGATTACCGCCCCCCGCTCCCCTATTTGTGACTATCTCATTCCATCGTAAGCGATGTCTTCCAAGTCTCATTAAACCGTTGTCAATATTAACCTATGCCAAACAGACACGCTCGTAATCGGAGAGAGACGGCGTTTCACAATGGCTCAGTATTGCAATTGTATGACTTCGTGATCGTATGCGCAGAAATACGATCGTTTATGGACAAGCAAAGCTCGTCAACAGTTTTCGCTTTACTCTGTATTTCTTTCTATACGATTATATTTCCCCGTGTACAATTTGGAGACATACGATCGTCCAAAATATGATTGGGAAGAGAGGAGTCACTTCATTTTGACAGTAATTCAATCGCATAAGGTAATCTATCAGCATACCACAGGATCTGTAATCAATCCAGCAATTTTGAATAATCAGATATTGCCGAATACAACATATCCGGCGTAAGAAACACGCCGAAGCATTATGAAACCGCTTAGTTCCGCAGTTTTTCAGCGTCTTTTCGATCCGTTGTTGACTGTTCCGGCGATCGAAACGACAGGCCCGAGATTGTATTATGAACAAAGTAGACAGGTATACAGACATAGATTTATTCGAGATTTTTTGTTTCAAGATTTTCAATTTGAGATATCGAGACATTCATGATTACCCGTCTCTTTTCTTTATTTCACTTGCGAGATAATAATTTCCCTACTCATTTGATAGAGAAAAGTCACAAGACTTTGTAAATTAACAGTGACAATATTGCCTCTACAAGAGAAAACTGTCTAGTACTTTTCTGTTTAACCTGATTTCAAAAAATCTTCTGATTTTTCTCCGAATTTTTTGGAAAAGTCTTCTGGTTCTCTCCTGATTCTTCGGAAAAAACCTCCTGATTTTTCTCCTGATTTTCTAGAAAAAATCTACTGTTCAACTTCTGATTTAAAAAAAAAAACGCCTGATTTCTAAAATTTGGATTTGGCAACCCTGGTTTAGGTGTGGATGTGGGTGTGGGGTGTGGGCATTAGTGTTCTCTTCATCCACACCCATACCCACACCCACCCACTCATCCACACCCACACCCACACCCTTCTAAACTCGTCTTTCTCTCATTATTTACTCTCTCTATCTCTCTC